AGGATTTGCCACAAAACCGATGGGAGGATGAACAGCCTTATGGACCAGACCAACTTTCGACCCAATATTTTGCCAAACCAGTTATGGATTCCCGGACTTTGGACATTACCATTCCATTCATTGATGAAGAACTTCTTTTCGAATCTCAACCAAGTCGATATTTAACACATCTTATTGGACATGAAGGACCAGGTAGTATTATGGCTTATATTAAGTCTAAGGGATGGGCAAATGCTTTAAGTGCAGGTAAGTTTGAATTTATTAAATTCGATCCAGAGGACTTCTACAAATCTTGCCTCCTTCAAAACCTCCAATTTATACTAATTCTTTTTAGGTGTCTATGCAATATGTCCTGGAACTCCTGGTTTGTTCAGTTGTCAAATACGTCTGACAGAAGATGGTCTCAAGAACTACAAGGAAGTTGTCAAAGTGTTCTTCCAGTATATCGCATTACTCAAGGACGCACCACCACAAGAATGGATTTTTGATGAGCAAAAGGGCTTAGCCGACGTCGATTTCAAATTCAAGCAAAAGACTCCAGCTAGTAGATTCACTAGCAAAATCAGTGCCGTCATGCAAACACCATTACCTCGAGAATGGTTACTCAGTGGCCATAGCAGACTTCGAAAGTTTGATGGAGAAAAAATTTCTGCTGGACTCAATTGCTTAAGAGCTGATAATTTCCGTATGCAGATCTCTTCCCAAACTTTCCCAGGTGGTTGGGATTCCAAGGAAAAGTGGTACGGTACAGAATACAAGTACGAGAAAATTCCCGCGGATTTCTTGGAAGAGATTAAAAAGGCTGCTACAAGCAAGGAAGGAGAACGATTCCCAGAATTGCATTTACCTCATGCAAATCAGTTCATTCCAACCAAACTCGAGGTTGAAAAGAAGGAGGTTAAAACACCCGCCATTTCTCCCAAGTTGATCAGAAATGATGACTCGGTAAGAACATGGTTTAAGAAAGGTTAGTAATTTCCCTTCTCCATGCCAAAAACGTATAGCTAATTCGTCTTTAGATGATACTTTCTGGGTTCCAAAAGCAAATCTTTTTATCCAATGCAGAAATCCTTTACCAATGGCCACTGCAGAAAATTCTCTCAAAGCAAGAATGTATACCGATTTGGTCTATGATGCATTAGAGGAATACGCCTATGATGCTGAGCTTGCAGGACTTGAATACTCTGTATCAAGTCATTCAATGGGTTTGGAGATTAGTGTTTCCGGATACAATGATAAACTCCCTGTTCTTTTGGAGAAGGTCCTGACTACCATGAGAGATCTTGAAGTCAAACAAGATCGCTTCGAGATTATCAAGGAGAGACTGGCAAGAGGCCTGAAGAACTGGGACTTTCAACAACCTTACAATCAAGTCGGTGATTACATTAGATGGCTCAGTAGCGAGAAAGGCTACATCAACGAGCAATATCTCGCCGAATTACCACATGTTACGGTTGACGATATTCAACAATTTTACCCTCATCTGTTAAGACAGATGCACATTGAAACTTTTGTACATGGAAACTTGTACAAGGAGGATGCTTTGAAATTGGCTGATTTAACTGAAAGTATTTTGAAGCCAAGAGTCTTACCACAAACTCAATGGCCAATAGGTAGATCTTTGGTCTTTCCACCTGGGGCTAATTTCGTTTATCACAAGACTTTGAAAGATCCGGCCAATGTCAATCACTGTATAGAATATGTTCTATCTGTTGGAGATAAGGCTGTTCGTCCCCAACGAGCCAAGACTCTTCTTCTCGATCAAATGACTCATGAACCAGCATTTGATCAATTAAGAACAAAGGAGCAGTTAGGATATGTTGTATTCAGTGGTTGTTCGACAACAACTACTACCATCGCTTATAGATTCATTATCCAAAGTGAGAAAACTCCACAATATCTTGAAGAACGAATCGATTCTTTCTTGGTTGGATATTTGGAAATTCTCAAGAATATGTCAGATTCTGAGTTTGAAGGACACAAGAGAAGTTTGATTACTAAGAGATTGGAGAAATTGAAGAACTTGGATCAAGAATCAAATCGTTTATGGTCTCATATTGATTATGAGTACCTTGATTTTGAACTTGGTAAGTTATTCCCTCTACACTTTTGACATGAAGTACTGACCCATTTCAAAGTCCATCATGATGCCGCCAATGTCAAAGCACTCACCAAAGAAGATATGATTCAATTCTATAATCAATTCATCCTACCATCTTCTCCACTTCGTTCTAAACTCTCCATCCACCTCATTGCTCAAGGAACTTCTTTGCCAGAAGCAAAACCAGAAGACCAAACTGTTCTTGCGATCAATAAGGATCGTAAAGATGCTGAAGATGGAGAAGCTATTGCCGTCAAGGCTGAAGGTAATGGTACTGTACCATATGTTATCACGGATGTACGACAATTCAAGGCGATGTTGCAAGTTACTGCTGGACCACAACCGGTCAAGCATATTAGTGAGTTTGAGGAATTGGATGCAAAGTTATAAATATGGCGTGATTAGGTTTGAAGGAAGGTGTGAAGGATAGAATATTCAAACACATCTTGGCGGATACACTAGCGCAATAGATGCGTCTAGGCTAAAGTACATGGACTTTTTGGACTGGATCTACTTGCAGTCTTGCATAGATGAGGAATTGAAAGAAGATTTGGTTCGGTATTACTAGGGGGAATCGGACAAGGTAAATAGACAGTTGGCTGCATTGTGTTGTGCAATGATTGGCTTGGTTCAATCTGGTCTAGTAGATACCCACGATCTTCTCTAAATGAATTGCAATGAGTTAGACAATCTTTTTTGGCTTGATGTGTGAATTTCGGGCTTGAGCCGTGCATAGTGGGTATCTCTTGAGGGTTTTGAGCTTCCGAAGTCTGCAGTTATGGATGGGAGACGAAAGGCGAGGATTTGATTACTGTATATGTGGGTAAAGCTTTCTTGAAGGTTAACCCTAAGAGAAAGGAGGCGAAGTTGAAGACTAAGGGAAAGAATGGCGGGGTAGAGAGCGAGACGTCTAGCGGGAAATTCGGATGTTCATGAATTCATATTCATTTTTATTGTCTGTATGCTTCCTCCTCCCCTCTCCGTCACCTTCGAGCAGGTACCTAAGTCTCCTGGTTGTTTGGCGATGGAGACGGGGGTAAGTTTGGGATGTGATTCGGGATGTGAACAGCCTGATGATAAGATGATGTGAACGAAGGTGTGGATTGGATTGGATTAGATGAGACGAGGTGAGGTAAGAAGGGAAATATAGTGAGTGGAGTGCGGTGTTGTGTTGTGTGGCGGAGTGTAGTGTAAGTTAAAGGTGTAGAGGAGTATGATGTGAGGATGAGAAGGAATATGATGGTTGATGACTGGTGGTTTATAATTGATCGACGATGGATGTAGCTGCTGGTTCAGACCTCCTTAAGAGGAGGGGGGAGAGGGGTTGGAGGGATGGGTTGATGAAGAGAAATGGTGTGGGAAAGGGGGAAAGATGGATGGAGATGGGCATTGTATACTGTTATGGTTGGGCTAATTTAGGCTCGGGAAGGGGAACAGAGGAAAGGACAAGCGGAAGACGGGAGAGGGGAGAGGGGATAGAGCGGTATGGTATGAATATAACAAAGGGCTATTACAGACTCACAGAGGGATGTGATACGGTTGGGGCGAGATCTGCATGCTTATCTCGATGTTGATATTTTAGAATCTGCGGGAAATAACAGCACTCCTCCAGGTCGTGTTGTGGATTGCGGGAGGGACTTTGTGTGGTGTGAGGGTGTGGGGCGTAGGGGTGATGTGCTGGGTTTTGTATGGTTGTATTGTCATGTGGTAATATTTTATCGTATAGTTGTATAGTGAGATTGTATGGGGATAAGGATATGAGAGTGGTAGTATAGTATAAATTTGGACAATCATGGGCCTCAGAAATAAGTCTTTTCTTTCTATCTGCACTCTCAGGCACAAGGGCACCAAAGCAACTCGCATGTAATAATTGATTGCATGATTTGAGGCTCTTGGATATTAAGGAGAGAGAGCGGGCAGGGGGCTTATAGGGACTCTACTCTTTGTATCTACACTGTCATGTTTAGATGTAAGGGCTTGAGAGGAATTCATACGAGGCGCAACTCGGAAATGCTAAGTTTTGCATGGTTAGATGGTATTATTTAATCCGTTGATTCGATTTGTCTGATTAGTACTCAACAATGAATGGGACTCTTTGATGAGTGGCCTAACGGGAGGGGAAAGGAGAGCATTCGTGTCCTCTCCATAGTGGATGAAGTGGATGAATGAAAGAGACACAATCGGAAATGAAGCAGACAACTGGATAATTACTTCTTTGATCGAAATAAGACAGGTAATGAAGTAATCTGTGCTCTATCACGTAGCGGAATCTGAGGATCTGTATGGTAGTAGAATTGTTTACATGTATTGACCATATTTAACTAGCGTTCTGAGATAAGTGCTCACTAGATAGCCACGCTAATGAGATAGTGGAAATTATTTGGAATCTTTTAGACCATCAGAATTAGAAAGCTGTAAATAAACAGAAGAACCCCACCGTTTCAAAAGGAATTGACTATGCAAAATTGACTATCTATTCATGACACCTAGATTGTTCCATATCATCTTAAACAATACGAAGCCGTATCGATTTTCCTAAAAGTCCCTCCCTGTCTAATTTTCCTCTCAAATTACTAGCTTAAAATAACCCTTTCTAGCATGGGCCATAAACTCAATAGCCCAACTAGCCCTAATTCCATGACATCACCCTTTCATTAGCGCAACAAACATAGCTTATCTAATTCCTATCTAAAGTAAGTAATTTGTTAAAATAGGGTAAAATACGCGACTGTATAAACAAACGCTAATTCATATCCGCAAATTCGTGGCATTTCGTACGTGTAATCTTCCGCAAAAGAACAACGTTGATTATCAAAAATAGCAGAGCTTCATACAACATAACACAACACAACATCAAATCAACCTCAACATCAAACTCCAACATCTATCGACGTTCAACATGAGTTCCCCACCCCCAATACCACAGCCCCAGCTAGCCAACTGTCGCACTCTGATCAGATCCCCAGACCGCGTTGATCGCTGGATGCAAGGCACCGGCGAATTTAGCAATCAACCTATGTCACCATCCAACAATGTGCCAAATAGTCCACCTTCTGGAAATCAATATGGCCTGGACGACGGAGTTATCTTAAGTAGCCCTTCAGTTGGCTCCCGTCCACAAAACTCACCACATGATGTGTTTGCTGCTCCAATCACCCAAGAAAATATGCGAGCTGGTGCAGGTTTCACTGGTAAGATGATACATTCATAGAGTAAACACAATGCATGCTAACCAACAAAGTAGAAAATAATCAACACCCAGACCCAGAAATTTCGAATGCGCCGCCAAATCAAGCACTAGCTGGCTTTGACTATGAAGCATTTCTTGGTGAACTTCAACAGCGTAACGAGCATATTCTCCACAACATGGGCGAGTACCCACCGATTCCGAATTTGGGAGATAATGCACACCAAGATTTCCATGATGGAAATAATCGTGTAGACGACCCGTACAACATGACCGCACTTCAAAATAGTAAGATGAATACCTCTCTTACACCACACAAGCTTCCTAATGATGATATAATAGGCAACGACTATTCACGCAACATGATGCCTATGGATGTTTATTCCTTCCAACCGCGTTACGACGACTTACAGCCCTTTGGTCAGGGAGCTCATCGAACGGATGCGAATATGACTACAGGTATGATGAATACCACAAACAACCATCAACAAAGCATGGGTAATCAAGTAATGGAGAACATCCCACTTCAGTCAGTCAATCCTCCACACTACTTTGCAGATATTGAATCAGATCTCAGAAACTACCAACCCTATTCCAACTACGACAACGGCATTCTCCCAAACAATCCCGGGTACCAGGGGTTTCAAGGCAGCGACTATATGCTATGGAATTATGGAAATATGGCTCCGACACAACCAGCCGTCCAAAGCTACGGAGACCGCATGTCAAATCATAATCTTGCTTATGTGCCTCCTCAACACGTCATCGCAGATCGTTTCGAAGATTCGCCATACGGTCTTGAATCTGACGAAGATTCTCAGGAAACGTCTGATGACGATGATGACGAAGATGGATCTGGTCGCTCTCTCGGTGAACCTATCAACATGGCGTCAGATCAATCGGCCGTCCGATATACTCAAAGCCCTACTACAGTATCTGGTTACATCAGTGATCAGAGAGTTCCAGGGCTAGTAGGTACAGGCCTAAATGCTGCTAATGCTCCAGACAATATATCATCAAGCCAGGATGAAGTCCTCCACGCTCAAGGTTTGAGTGTCCCTAATGTTCTAGGAGATATGCCATCAAACCAACATACAGACCACAACGAACAAGACCTAGATATCGCTAATGTTCCAGACAACATGCAATCAAACCAGCATATAGTCCACAGCGAACAAGGAAACATGCCAACTTCAGGTGGCGCTCAAATGGATACTTTACAAGATCAAATCCTATCTGGTAAGTTGAGTATTATTGTCCCACTGACGCAGCTTTCTGATTTAATTATAGATGCTGCTCAACCATTCAATACAATCAACTATGGGCCTTACTTTCCACAAGATACCAGTTCGAGACAAGCACTCCAGCTTGATAGCAACCCGACGCTTATCTCGAATTTCGCGGAACCAAGAGTAGCCCTCAACTCCAGAGAAGCCGACACTCGATCAGCTAGGTACTTCCCACCAAATCTACCAAGCACAATGGCATCCAGCGTCCGTCAATCACAGATGGAAACTCCTCGGGCTGTAAATCCATTTAGTAAACTTTGAACCCTTTTCGATGATAGAAATTGAAGGTTTCTAACTATTCCAGGAAATCCCGCGAGAAATGAGAAATCTGATACTCGAAAGAATTCTTCGCGGTCTGCGAATAGAGTAAATAAGTCTATTCGTCGCAAACGACCAGCGAAGACGCAGAAATTACAGTCTGCAATTGCCAATAGCGCTTTGCAATTGTTAGGGGAGTCGACATCTCAAGCTGTAGAGGCACAAAACGATCCGGAGAACTCAAAATCTCAAGCTGTTGAAGCACAGGATGAATCAGAGACCAGCTATGAATCGGTAGAATAAGAGTGCGTATCATTTCACATCTCTCCGATAACTATAGGGGAGATACATACACAGTCAAGATCTCTCTGTCTTGGTCTACATGTTGTCCTCGCCATCTAGGAGAAGTACTTCAAAGGGCTTTACGAAGAACTCTTGATTGGCTAGTTAGCCTTGACAATGAGTTCCTTTGACTGACATTTCGCAAAAAGCTAGGAATAATCGCCCTTTTGATGGAGGAGAGGCGCTTCTGGTGTTATACGATTGTAGATCAACTCGAGAAAACAACGGCGTTATGCAAACTTGGGCTTGTGCAGGAGAAAAATGCAATAATTGGAGAGAAAGGAATGGTGCAAAGCAAGCACTTCTTTATGTTTGAGAAGATTGCATAGGATATGCCCGCGTTTACGAGTAGCTGCCAGAGTTAAGCCCTAGTGAACGTAGCAGATGTGGCAATGGGAGGAAGAAGTAATTGAGACAACCAATTGTCTCATAGTCTAGTTTACGGCTAGAAAGTAGACAATCAAAAGGTTTATATTCCATAAATGCGTGCAAAATCTAGTGTTCATGCCGATAGTGATATGCAGGTAATCCTTCGAGACTCTGAAACCATTCTACTAGACCGGGCTTCAATACACACTACTATAGGTACTTTTTACATCAAGAATCCTTCTGTAAAAGACTGTATATCGAAGTTCATAACTTAGACACTCGCGGAAACTTAGGAAATAACACAAATCTTGCACTTACAAGCCCAGACTTCACACAGCCCTTAAAAATAAACCCTCCAGCCAATGATTTCAGTAGATTTCACCATTCTCTACACAAACCCCCTGCATAGCCAATAACCGACCGCCAAAATCCAAACGAAATGAGAATACAGCTAGCTAGTTCAAAAAGCTTAGAATTCACCCTGAGCTCTGTTATCCCCTCATCATGTGATACCCCGCGTAAACAAAGTCTCCCGAGAAATTCCTCCACCACAAACAATCTCAATATCCAAAATTTCCAAATCAAAAACACAACAAAATTCCCATTCAAGTCTATTCATAAAATACAAGAACAACTTGACAACAAGATGGAGGAATCTAACCCACCTTCCAGGCCACCTGATAATCAGAACTCAACAATGCCTGGTGCAGAACCAGCTGATTATGAGTATGGTAGACCAATGGAACTTGGTAAGTTAACAACCTTATGCAGTGAAATATATAGAACGTGCTAACGTGATAGATGATCAACAACAACAAAGTGCGACAGCTTATTACTCTCCGAATAATTTTCCGATGGGTTTGACGGCAGAAGGATATAATCGACTTCAAACCGGCAATACAGCAGCTTCTAACTTGCGGGTCAATCGATCCCCATATTTGACCGCAGCCTGGGGCGACCGTCCGCCGCATCTTGAAGATAACTTTGGCTTGACTGAGGGTCAAACAGGTATACAAGGTGGCTCCGATGGATATACAGGTGATAGTTTCTTCAGTAAATAAATGAAAATGAAACCCAATGTCTTAATAGAGTACTAACAATGGCATAGATGGCTACACAAGTCCAACGTTCACATCGTCAACCTCTCTTCGTGCCAACCCACCACTTAGTACAGGCTCACCTCGACGTGCCTTTACTAACCACGGAGGAAATTCGTACTTTCCTAACTCTAGAATGGCACCAAGTCAATCAGCCAGTTTCAACCCACTACCTAGTACAAATTCAGCTCAACTTATCTTCGCTGGCCCAGAAAGAAGTTCATTTTATCCTAACGCTAGAATGGCATCAAATCAACTACCCGCTTTCAACCCACCACTCAATACATGTTCGAATCAACGTGCCTTTACTAGCCAAGGAGGAAACTCGTACTATCCTAACTCTAGAATGGCACCAAATCAATCAGCCGGTTTCAACCCTTCACTCCACACAAGTTCAGCTCAACTTATCTTCAATGGCCAAGAAAGAAGTTCATTCTGTCCCGACTATAGAATGACACCAAGTCAACCACCCGCTTTCCCACCACTCAACACTGGTCCAACCCAACCTACCTTCACTAAGCAAGGAAGTTCATTCTATCCCAACAGTGGAATAGCACGAAGTCAATTAGCTATTTTCAACCCACACCTGCACATGGCTTCCACTCGTAATAACCAGTTACGTACCCCAGCACACTCGACTCCACCCGATCCAAAAACTTGTTTCAGCTCTTTCAGAATCACCCCATCCGGTCACCAAGTCGCCCGCAACGACCCGGGTCAGACATCTCCTTCAGATTTTGTACAGATACGTGTTCAAGATAATGGAAGCTCCTCCAGCGCGTTGGACGAGATAATAGCGTCCCAATCACTCCCTGAAAGTGTGCAATATGCTACTCAGTCAGGTAATTTGAGCACCACTCATGTATTATTGAAGCATTCTAACCACATGACAGAAATGGACCAAGATTACGAAGAAATGTTTCCTGTCAATGATTCCAAGGCCAATACCGAGCCGAATATGTCGGGCTGGATGTCTGATTTTATGGAGACCATGCCATATGAGAAAACATACGTTGGTCACAAACACACTGGTGAACAATATACTGGCCGAGCATCCACTGAATACCATGGAGATGGCTCTACTACAGCATGCTCGATCGACACCACATTGGAGATCGAAGCTTTTGAAAATTCGCGAAAAATATCAAATGCAATAGTGGACGAGTCCGACAAGCAGAAGTTACTTCGTGATGCAGCTATTACATGGGCTGAGACATTTGTGCCTACTGGCATGATTTCACAACACGAAAAGCAAGAAAAGAAGTACGTATCTAATAAGGTTTACGCATATCACCCCCGAGGTTGTGAGAATTATTACTACCGATCTGTAGTCGGCGATGAAGTATATGTTGAACACTGGGCTAACAACAAAACCCGCACGGGAGTGTGGAACCATCCCGGTAATGAATTTCCTTCGCGCATTTTTGATGAATACCCCTCTGATTGGAGTACAAACGTGGACCCCAACATCGCATTTTCGAGAAATCCACAAAAACAAAAGGAGTTGAACGATCTTCGCAATCAACTTTGCTCAAGACATAACACCTCCGCCGAAGATCGTTACAAACCTGCTGATCCTGACACACGGCCTAGTTGGCAATATCACCCGGGGGGAATAATAAGTACAATCGATCACGGTACTGTTGATGTTCCTAGATCTTCCATCACAAGAGATTCAATCATGCGGGTAGTTTCGAGAATTTCAAATCCAATCTTCACTGGCGCTACATGCGGCGGATCTTTCAGCTTTTGGGGTCCAAATTCTCGGCCACCTAGTGAAAGGCGTCAAACTACTCATATTTCCAATAAGGAACGAAGAAATGCTCTTAGGCGTATTAAGGATCTTCTTGACAGGACATGGAATTTGCCAAGTATGCAATTAGAGCTTCATATTGTATATTGCATGTTTAAGGTGAGATTGATTTCCTTTGAATAGAGTTTTTTTCGGTAGAATCGATTACTAAATCTTACCTAGGAATGCAATTCTTCTCCCGGGTTCGGCCAGAGTCCATACCTGTGTGTAAAACTTGCGACATTCGACAAATTCCCGAAATTGCCCACTGAGTTGCAGTGGATGATCTGGGAATATTGCTTTCCTTCTAAAACAGAGCACCTTGGTCTTGTGGTTACAACGGGCAATCTTAGGAATGAAGATCATAAAATCGAACTACCCATAACTTTAAGTATTTGTCGTCAAACCCGCGAGTTAACACAACGCTACTACACTATTGTGGACAAGCCGAAATTTCGAAGGGGATCAAGATACATATACCAGAGCCAAGTAACATATGACAAGCGCAAGCAGAAGTATTCGCAGCCAAGACAGCTGGCTCTTGGTCCACAAGATGCAGTAGCCATCTCAGATGATACTCCCGAGAACAGAATGGAAACTACCCTTGAGTGGTACAATCAAATCAACGAGAAGCATAGTAAAGGCTTGCAGAGTATCCGTCACTTGGAAATTCGAGATATTCGTAATTCTCATGGCGATCTCCTTGCCGCTTCTCGTCGTATCAATAGCAACGCAGACCGTTCTCGTCTCATACCAAGAGTTTTCTCGAATGGCAGTTTAGCCATGTTTAAGAATCTCCAAACACTAACACTTACGAATATGCCGCCGCCCGCGATCAATTTTCTAGGCCCCCAACCGTTTCGTAGAGAAGAACAAGAGGTTCTGAAAAACTTGATTTCGGATTATCTTGATCAAACAAGAATTGGTGATGATAGGCTTGTGGCCAAAGAGAACATAAAGATTAGAGACTTCACATCGATGGAGGGTCAAAAAGTGAAGAAAGACAATGGAAGGATGGATTTCAACGAAGAATTCCATTCGAAGATGTTAACACATCTTCCAGAAAAATATCAAAACTAGTCGTAGGACAGACAGGACGGATGCATGAATAGGAGAAGAAATAATTGAGAGATGAGGAAGAGATGTAGGAAGGGATAATGTATCTATATATTTTTTAAGAAAATTCAATCAAAATTGCAAACAGACACTTGAGCACTTTACTGACCAGGTAATGAAACATGGCTCAGCATAATTGCAATAAACATTTTCTTGACAACCTTGAGAGAACACTTCTTGGTAGCAGTAATGAAGGTGACGCTGAGTAGTCTCTTGCGATCCAACATGCAATCAGCACACAAATCACTTCCGCATCCCATCTTCCACCATCAAACTCAAACATCCAAGAACTCCAAAAACCATATCTGAGAATGCGCTAACATATACTCATATTTTTTTCTCGCAAATACATTGCAACTGTGCGTGAACAAATCAAGCCAAGGGCGCAACATACCCCTCGACGTGGAAGCAAAGTAAAGCGCGGTTTCCAAATACTAATGGAGCTAAGTTCCTCCTTCTTTCACCTTCTCTAAACTTTCACTCCACTAATTGACTACTCCCAAAAGGTAGAGTCGCTAGCCAGAACACTTATATCCCAATCCTTCATCGGTATTTGCTTCGGTATCTCTTCGCAAGGCCAAGTGGCTTTGTATAATAACACATCTTCAATAGTGATAGTATCCATGGTGTTTCTTTCGAAGTGTCGAAAAAGTTGGCATGGTAAGTTTCCCACAAGTACCTAGGTATGGGTACTCAGCAATTACCCCCTCAAAGAATAACTCCACGTCATAAAATGAAGCAATCCTTCCAACAAAGCATCAAAGCATCCCTCTCCAAGTCAAAAGTGATCAAAACCCAATCTGCAAACCTGATTCATTGACACATGATGAAGGAGCATGATCGGGCACCACAAGAACAACTCTTTTATATCAAAGATGTGTTTCTGTGAAAGTTGGTCTATGATTCCACTCTGTGTAAAGTTGATGGAGGGGAGAAGGTTAATAGATGGTAAAAGATACTGTACCGGGATTAACAAATTCCGACTCCCGAAGTTCACCCTTTGCAAGGTGAGGTTGATTAGGTCACATTATGAGAGCATCACGTTTTTTCATTGTATGTGTATCAATCAATCGTTCTTGTTAGCACTCCTTCACACCTGTGATATCTTCGAGTTCCATACATTCAACATTCTTTCTTTGGCAATAATCATCACAATACCATTTCTCTTCATATTCATCAACAACACGTTTAGTTTCAAATTCAAACTCGCATTCAACAGTAAATATCCCTCCGGGGAGCAGCTAATATCAATCTAATTACAGGGTAACCCATCTAACTGTGACAACACACCTAGAATCCCATCGAAAATCTCCAAATCTAGTTCAGAATACCAGGTAACAGGACCTGCAATTTACGGAATTCCCAAGGCTTTCTCACCTCGAACTTGTTTTCCTTGCCTTTCCACATCATCACTATCCTGCCGTCTCCCCTATACCCCTCTATGTTTCCTCGTTTCTCTTCCCCTCCCTCCCTTCCATTTCTAATGGCGTGCTTGGGCTCAAGTCAAAGTGACAAGTTAGCTTCCAGATACAGAACTCTTCATCCATCTCACACGAATCACCCCTATCAAACCGCAAAGACTACCTAGTATCTAGCAAAGGGCACGGAATAGTAGCCTCTATATTTCCAAATCATCCGAGAAAAGAACCGGTCTTCAGAAGTAGTAAGAAACGTCTACCGAAGACGAGGGACAACTTAGAGAAGGCGGAAGACTAGAAAAAAAGACCTACCAGGCGAGAAAAGAACAAAAAAGCCGGGGCGCTTTGGATATTGATTATCAAACTGGAACTCCCACCCAGATTTTGACTTAAGTTCTAGGCCACGCATGATCCAAATTCCTTTACAGCGTAGAATTTCATAATAATATCCATTTTGTCCTTCAGATTAAATTCCAATTCTACCGGGTATCTATTACTATCTGAATTTCAAATCTCCGCATACGCATTGATATTCCATGTCCATGTACTCCAAACTCATGCAAGAGAAAATGTTTTCGCCTGCTGAATGTCATATCTCATGTTCCATGATTTGTTTCCTCTCCCCATCTTTCCTTTTGTGATCCGTTTCGTACAACCCGCCCATTTTTCGTGTGCCACCTCTCTCCCACGCGGAGATTTGTCCTGTCCTGTACCTATCCCTCGATCTGTAAGGAACGACTTCCTCCTTCACAGCTTACAAGTTCTCATAGTATGTGATGTTCCACTTGTGGTTCCCTTCCACTAGCTTTCACAACTCCATCCGCATTTTGTGCCGGCATAGCTATTGGCTTTCCCTCCGTCTTCGAAGTCAAAGCTACCAACTCTCTCAACATCAATTCCCTCGTATCTCTCGCCAGATCTTCGACATCCGCAGAAGTAAGGTCTTTCGTCTCGATTGGTTTCAAAACTACATTTTTCCCAAATTAGCTTCGTCTTTAAAACTTCGAATGCAGCTTAGAAAACCTACCTTTAACCGGTATCCTCCCCGATTTAAAGTGCCAGCTCTGGACGTGCAAAACATTACTGTAACAAGCGACCACGACCGGTATAATCGGCACACCCGCTTGAACCGCCAAATGAAAAGCTCCTTTCTTAAAAGGCAATAATGTTGGATCCTTGGCATAACTTCTTGTTCCCTCTGGAAACATATAAACATTTTGTTTTTCCTCCCTGATTTCCTTTGCTGCTCCCGCCATAGCCTGTCGCGCGTCTTTCGCATTACCCCGATCAATAAATACCGTTCCACTCAAACTCATAAACCAGCCTAGGAATGGCACATTCTTTAAACTCTTCTTCGCAGTAACGGAACAGTATCGAGGAAATACACAGCCCAACATAAGTACATCGAGTTCGGTTTGGTGATTTCCTATCAAGACTGCAGGACGTGTTGTACCGAGATAGTTGTGCGGATCTTCGACGACAAATGTTACGCCAGTAGTTAACCACATTGTCCATTTGAATGCGCGAGCGACTGCCCATTGCGATATGCGATAGTTTCCTATGAGACGTAGGAGAATAGATATGAAGACTCCATAGCAAGCGCAAAGGACGAGGGAAATGTAACCGGCGAGGAGACGAGCGAAGAAACCCGCGAGAGGAAGAATAGGAGAGAGCATGTAGAGAGATAGAGTGAGGACGGTATAGATTATTGAAAGATTTGTAGCGTAAGAAAGAAGAGCGAACATCTTGAGAAGTATGGACCTAAATAGATGGATGTAAAATAAGACTGAGAGCTCGAGCTCGACTTGTTTATGCTAATCTTGCACAAATTAATAAACCCTTTGAATTGAATGATTGGATGGATGATTAATTAATTAATCGAATGTTCAAATGACCCTCTCAAGGAGGGAAAGAGAGTGACATAAGATAATAATCAACCAATATAATTCTTTGTAGGTTCAAGAGATTGAGGAGGAGGGGAAAGAACGACGAGTGAAGCTTAATAATAAATCTTGAGATCCTTGAGCGCATAAGAAATGGTTGAGGATTAATTTTCATTGGTTTATATAATTCTATTTTGATTGGTTTAAATGATAAATAAGGTTGTTCGGGTGACTTCACTATCCTAGTTCTTTGGGGTAAAATTACAAGGATATTCTTCGGCAATCGGTTGAGTTTATCGTTTGCTTGGCATTAGATATTTCCTTCTATTCCGAGAATATATCAAAATCACGTGAAGAATATATTTTCTATCATTTTATTCATATCTTCCCCGTTGAACTATTGTTTCGCCGTCAATGCTTAATATGGCAGATTCACGATGTTTGAAGATCACCGTTGGAGTTTTAGCTCTTCAAGGTGCTTTTAATGAACATATTCAATGTCTTCGTTCCGCCAGTGAAATCCTCGCCACTAAATCCCAAACCACATTGGAATCTACACCAAAATCGCCAAAAGGAGACCTTTTTGTTGAATACAAGTTCATAGAAGTACGAAATGAAGCCGAACTTAATTCATGTGATGCACTCATCATACCTGGTGGTGAAAGTACTGCCATTTCACTTGTTGCTCAAAGATCAGGTCTTCTGGAACCTTTGAGAGCCTATGTCAAGTGAGTCATCCATATAACATTTCCCCCTTCATCCAGTATTCATTCTAACAACCCCATAGATATCATCGCTATCCTACTTGGGGAACTTGTGCAGGCCTTATTCTACTTGCCGAGTCTGCAAACCGTACCAAAGCAGGTGGCCAGGAGTTGATTGGTGGTCTTGATGTCCGAGTGAATAGAAATCATTTTGGTCGACAAGTAGAATCTTTCTCGGCCAATTTAGATTTGCCATTTCTCTCATCTCTAAGTCCGAGTTCCTCGGAGCCCAACCCGGATCCTACTTCTACCCCTCTTTCTACTCCAGAGGAAGGAAAACCTGCTCCTTTCTCCGCAATATTCATCCGAGCCCCTATCGTGGAGAAACTCCTCCCCCACGCTCCTGGCGCTCAAATTTCAGAATCTACACTAGAATCCACAGTCATCGCACCTTCTCAACCAATCGACTCAAAATCTAACCCTAACCCTGATACTATCCTTTCCGCTCCCGTGGAGATTCTCGCCACACTTCCCGGTCGCACAACCCATTCCATCCCAGAAATTCAAGAATCACTCAATAGTGAAGCAGGAGATATAGTAGCCGTTCGTCAAGCAAATGTATTTGGAACATCTTTCCATCCAGAACTAACAGGTGATGCGAGAATTCATGCGTGGTGGTTAGAACAGGTTGTTGAGGATGTTGTCAAGAGAAGAGAATTGCAAACATCATCATGATGATTATTTTCCACGAGTTCACAATTCGATATATTCGATATACCCTTAGACATTATCTTGCGAAATAAAAATATATTTGAATTATACAGTTTTATTTACTCATGGGGGCAAGCCTCCAAACCCCTTTTGCTCGCTGCGCTCGAGTCTCGAAGCACTATGAATGTTTATAGGAAAGTATCCCATCTTCCGGCCTTAGCAACCATCTTTGAAGATCAATGAATGCCGGCGAACTGTCACAAATCATTCTTATTACAGATATCATGGAAATCAACATAAATTTCATTATCCTGCCTTTCTTCTATGTACAAACCATTTTTCCTCCCTCCCTGTCAAATCCCTACTTATTCGCTCTCTCCTTATACCTTCTCCCCTTCCTTTGCTTCTTCTTCACACTCGCCGAAATCGAATACACATCTCTACATTCCAACTTCGCCAAGTCAAGGTTCTTCCCCAGACCCTCGAAAAATTCCTTGAAAGAACAGGACGTATCATCTTTATCAAAACTATAACTCCCCAAATCTACATATTTCAACGTATCTTTATGTCTGAACAGAAATCTGAAAAGATCTATCTTTTTCATACAGAACCAAGAAAGTCGCAGCATCTCGAGATTCGGAAAGGTACTTGCGAGAAACTGTTCATTCCACATCTGTCGCAAGTTTTTCGAGTTCATGTTGGGAATACAGCCTTCTTCTTCATCGAGAGATGATAGCTGCCAGTTAAGTTCCAAATGCCTGAGATTCTTCATCGAAGAAACAACTTTACACATGGTGTTAATGGCTAATATATTCCACTGGGCGATTTGACTTGTAGCTTTATGATGATAACATGAAGGCTCAGGATTTAAAGATAAACGCCCATTGGGAACACAGCATGAAAGACCCAATGAAGTTGATTCGAGATGAGAAAACGCTGTGATGAATCGAGAAGAGACGTCAGTGCCAATTGCCCTCTCCGAATCCCACGTCATAAATGTGTAGATGGGAAGCGACTCGATTTTCAAATGTTTGAGGGCAATAGAACCAGACAAAGACATACGAGTAAGTATATCAAGAACCCCCTGAAAATTAATCGGAGGTAGAGAAGCCCATTGATCCGGAGTGTAGATCTCCATATCTATTTCTGGATCATCCAATAATTCCTCATGGCGTTGATACACACTCGGAGAACCATAATTCTCAATATTCGAAATCGCTATCGACGATAAATTCTTCAGAGGAAGCAAAAGTCTCGCAAACGCATCTCCACGACAATATCGTAAGTAATCATCCGACGCTACTAACAATTTCTCCCTTAACCATCTTGCTTTCTCATCATTTGACTTCTTCGCGAGGAAGATCGCAGGTGTATTCCGTAGGATATTTAATCCTAATCTATAACTATCGATAACTCCCAGACCGATATTCAAGTGCTGGATCGATGGCATTGCAATAGTTTGCGCCACTTCTTCAAGTCTTTGCATACCATTTTTGAAAGGCGATATGGAGAATCCTCGCTCGGCGAAGAGAACTTCGAGCATCAATAGGGCCCAGCTACGACTTACTAGTCTGGCGCTGGGGAGATTGGCTGCGTCGAGATACCTTATAATTAGGCGGAAGGTTTCGGTGGGGATTCTTCGCCTGGGGAAGTATTCTTGTTGGGAGGGGGGTGAGCTGGATGGGGAGGGGAATGTGGATTCGGACATCCTGATGTTTTTGGAGATTGGTAGGAGTTATATGTTTGAGAGTATTGAAAATCTGAGATGAAATATATATCAACACGATGGAAGAAGTAGATGCATGATATATGATATGCTTGATTGGAGTGTTAGAAATGATCCTTGTGCTGTATATAGGTATCAAAGACTTCGAAAGACTTCGAACCGCAGAAAAATTCTTTATATAACATCTTAGAAATTAGAAACATTACCTAGCGTACCTGTTATTCAAACCAAGCATATCATTTCCGTACGATAGGAATCTAAAGCCCCTAGGTCAATACTAATTCATACCGCACTATTCCTTTCTCGTAGTAATCAAAGTCCGTCAAATACTATTCTTAGCTATGATGGAGAAAAATCACATGATATCCTATTAGTAGAAGTCCTACACAGCACTAATGGAACTAGATATGTCAAGACTGGAATCGGGTGATGCATGTCAGGTTGAAGTTTTGGAGGAGCCCCACATTAAGAGTAATATCGCTGGTATTTAGTGGGAGCTAGACTTGTACTAGTAGGTAGTTTCTGGGGAGAGGAGATCATCGATGGGAAAGACGGGATTGATGTTAAAAATGGAATTTAGGGGTAATGTAATTGAGATTTTTGCTTGGGATATGGGATGATGTGTTCGGGTTTTCTATGTAGTTTAGAAAAAAATGGGATAGGTGAGAGGGAGGGAGTTGGAGGCAGGGTTGGATTTGGGTTTAGAGTTATTCAGATTGAGGGGTATTGGAAGAGACCAGCGAAAATGTGAGAGAAATGATAGGAATTGTGATGAAAGGAGAGAAAACTCAAAGCATAAAAGGGGCAGAGAAAATAGGGTGAAAGGCCAGTTCCCATGGCTCATACCCGCATAGTTTTTGAAAGGAAATAACAATCCGGTATTCATCAAACTTTCACACACTTCTAGAACCCTTCTCGAAGATTCAAAAATCCCTAAATTTGTAGGCAGTTGGAGAACTTACCAATTAAACTTTTCTCGAAACCCCCCCAACCCCCCCAAAAGGAATGGAACCGTCAAAGAATAATGTATTATTTCAATTATGATTATACCTTTCGTTCCTGCCACTTCACCTCCCTAATATCCCTCTTCGATCTCGACTTCTTCTGACCCATCCTTTCCACTCATCCAATCTCCTCCAATGCGGATAATCTACATTTATCATCGGCCACGACCATTTTCCCAGTACGAACATTTCGAATAATTTCGCATCCGATAATGTATCACCTGAAGACTCTACAATCTGCCAATCTTGATCATATATTCGTTGATCACTGGCACTGACCAATAATTGGAATCTTTCCAACTTTAAACTATCACGCAATTTGAAAAGAATAGATTTGACAGAGACGCATCCTCTAGGTTTATCTTGAGGAATGAGGAAGAAATCATGTCCTAGGGATAAAGATTTCAAGGTCTCTTTGTGACGAAGAATGAATGAGTAGAATGGAATATCGAAAGATCTTACTTTGGAAACACGAAGGTTCTCGAGAAGTGGGAAGGTATTGGAATAGAATCCATCCTGGCTTGTTAATTCCATTGAATCATTCGGAAATCGAGAGGACATGTTCAAGGTAACATCTAAAGATCGAAGAGATTGCATGGATCCCATGAACATACTCATAGATTTAGCGATTACTCTGGTATGCTCGGGAGTTGTTGCGTTACTGCTAACAAGATTGACACCAATTCGGAGATTTTCGACTTTCGATGTCATATCCTGCATATCATGGAGGAAGTTAGTGTGAATTTCATAGGATGGTCCAGTTTGGTCATCGTCATTATGATAGCCTTGACTAGCAAAAAGATCAATTGGGAAAGTGTCCAATACTAAATTCCGAACTGGATTCTGTAACAATCGTGTTGCGAGTAATATACTAAGATGTCTGATACTAGATCTTGTAGGAAACGTAGTATCGTAAGAGTCGTAAAGTGCGTCTGGCTCGCGATTCAATCTTCGCATGAGTCGCATCCATGCTAACGTGAAATTGACCTCAGAAGGCGAAAAGGGACATTCATTCGCGGTGGCTGTAACGGATTCGACCGAAGGTAATTTTGAAAGGGAATAAGACAGCATGATCGGATCACAATGTCTCATTCTATTCTGGACAATCTGTTCCAACAAGCTATTGACCTTCCTTTCACAAGTCAACATACTCTCGATTTTACTATATTTGTTAACAGTCTGAGCTTCATGGTCGAATTCTAACATATCCAAATCACCAACATATATTTTTACATGTTTGATAACTCTCGCTAGCCATGGGTAGCAGGCAACGGATCGTAATCGATTCATATCGTCAAGGTGTGGTCGAATGGAAAACACGCCATGTTCGATTTGATTTCCAATACGAACATTGAAAAGACCATTGACAGATACGCTACCCCAAGCTCTTGATGTAAGACGGAGATTAATGACATCTTTTGCGGCAAGTAAATCGACAATGCGGTATCTCAATTCAGTGGGTAAGTTGGAGAGAAAACTCGAGTCCTCGGAAGGCAGCATATCGGTAAGCGAATCCCTTGAAGTTGACATTATGAATGACCTCGATGATCAAGAAGATAAAAGATATTGGCAAGAAACTTGGTGATTAATAAGCAAATAACATTTCATGCATACTGCCGTACATGAACGATATGCTGATGAGCTGCCGTATATAAGTGATTTGTTTATGAGCCTTCATACTAGACCTTGTCTAGATGCCAACAGAATAAGAAACATATTGGCCTGAGTGGCCATCGAGGTCAGACTTCCAGGACAATGGACACCCAAATAAATGCCATAGGCGCCTAATATGGCGGTGCAAATGCTAATGATACACGTTCCATTTCAAATTATTCGAGTTCCTATTGACGATGCCCTGATGATGAGCTTATTATAAATCTGTAAAGAAATTCAAAGGTCATTCCTATTCAAAGATCACACACTGTATATTTCATGTCCAATGGAGTACCAACACTCGCGAGATCCCCCACCTGAATGGATGGCCGGAAATTCGGCCATCCCGACTTACGGTGACCTCCATTCGGCCCATGTCTATGGGGAACAGCACTTGCTGTAATTCAACGAGCATTCAAGGCCGCAGTATAGTACTCCAGCCTACACCTTCTAGGTTGTCGTAATGTACATGAACAATAAATGTGACGTTCTACCCATCCCTACACATCACGGAAAAGCTCACCTCGGCCGGAAGATTTATTTTCCGGGTCAAATTTAACAACCTCGACCCTTGACAGCACTATTGCTCTTGACATCTTCATCTTCATTTTCACGATCCTTGAAGATGTAAGTTGCCTATGCATCTCATTCTAGACAACAAAACACTGGATTCATGTCAAGATTGCCAAAAGGGATCAATTCTTCACAAGATAGTCAGAATGCAAGAAAGTTATTCGCGTTCGCCGATCGCGAAGGTTACATGTCTGGGTGAAGTGGGATTATTTGCAAAGACATGACGATATGGTTGTCGAAGAAAGAAAGACATCGGCCGGTTTGATGGCTTTCAATAAGCCTTGAAATCTTGTGGCTGAGACTCAAACTGAGCAGGTATCGAACCTTGGAGTGAATAGCAGTGTGGTAATTGTGCCATGTTGGTACTTTTCATTCCAGGGGAATGTTCCATGGTAATACGTCACATGTATGGGTTGCTACTATCAAAGTCAAATCTACAAGTGGGCTTTCTTGCTGGAGTTCAAGGTCAGATCTTGTCATGGAGGAGCCAGGTAGGAGTACAGCCAAAAATATCCTTATTCATGTAAGACTCTAAATGATGGTTCAAGAATTTATTAATTAGCTCTTCTAATTGATAATAATTATCATTATATAAAGCAAAGTCTTCCATCACAACAGCAGAGCCCCATATTCCGAGCAACCTTTCAGTCCAGCGATTTCGCGATCACCAACCCACACTTAACCCGAGGTCTTTCCTACAGACATGCACTAAGCTTCGAAGCAACAATTACAGGACTGTGTACCCCAGGGGCCAGGTCTGCTTCATTCATGGGCTGATATACGATCTCATTGTCTAATATGCTAGGAAAATTTGAAGAGTAATGCTGGCTTCTTGAACCTGAGCGGACACAATGTCGAACCATAGCATAGAAATTGAAGGAGCTGAGAAGATAATCGGTCGAAGTTGAAGTGTATTACATTAGCTTCTCGGTTGTTTTTCGGCTGACAAAATTGAAAAGGTCTTGGATAAAGCAAGTGAAGTGATCTAATTAAGGTTGATATCATCTTGAATGAGAGGGTCAAGTCCACCTAATTCGAAATCAGGGTTATCAGAAAGTTCCAAAAAACCTGAAGCAAAGGCGAGATCTTTTAACTCTAGATGACGTAGATACATCTTTGGAAGCTCCAATAATTCTGTACGCGGAGAAAAATCGTATCCCGAAATATCAAACATCCGAGGATGGCCAGCATCGATAATTTCATTGACGGTGTCATCTGCTAAAGTCCTAGGTGCCACTTTCATAGATGTATTTGAAGAGACAGCAGGTCGACCAACGGGAATTTGAAGTGCTGTGGCAGGTATTGAATCGAACAGTTGAACTTGTGCTGGAAATTCCGATCTCAAATGACCATCGAGTACGACACCATCAATGTTAGTTGATGACGCTGCAACAGAAAGACTTGTATCGATAAGTAAAAATCTAGTTGAAAATTTTACAGCAAATACATCAATAGGAGAGAATTGGCCCAGTGCTGGAAAGAAACTTTAGGGTTTGCTGGAGCAATCCTTGAAGTTGAAGCAGCACGTATTGCACAAGAGCCAATGGTAGATGATGTGAATATTGTAGTAAGCATTGGGTTGACATGTGGAACATTTGATGAAGTACGAATACCTCTGTCTTGTTTTAAAAGTTTCTTTGAGACCAGGCGAGTATTTGAATGTTCCATACCATTGTGAGACATTGAAAATAAGCCATCTATACCACCTTCTGAAGATATTTGATTCGCCTCTTCTGGACCTTTAAGAATAGAAATTCCCTCTCTCAAAGTTCCACACATCATGTCAAGACATGCTGGTCTGAGACTACACGTTCAGAGACAATAGGAACGATCGAACTCAATCTCTCACCATGCTGCGCCTCCAAATCTATAGCAGAGCAAAACCAGACGTCCCAGTGCCAAGAACTTTTCTTCAAAAAATGCTTCTACTCAAATCATCCTTTCATACCCGTCGGCAGCGTCGATTCTTCTATATTTTGTTCCTCTATTCTTGGCAGTTTGGGATGTTGATTTCGAATGGAGCTTTTGATTGTAATACGAATCTTTCTTAAAAAGAGAGACAATGGATTTGAATATACATAATATCGAAATTTTAATTACATTTGTAAGTTTTTGGTATCCTGTAGCTTTAATATCTTGAACTCTATTAGGAATATCTTTTTCTATTCGATATCTCTTAAGTCGAGGAATTTCGATAGGTTCATCACTAATCTCATTCGAGAACCCATTAAATTCTTGCTCTTGTGATTTATCTTTAGAACCCTCGCCTGATGCTCCTTCGTTGTCTGAAAATTCGAACCATTCATTTTGCATCCGTGCTAACTTTATGTAGCGATTCCTCCGATTATACTAATTTTTTTATTCTTTATTGTTCAATTCGGGAGGGTAATTACGAAGCTAGTTAAGTCGACCTATTTCTGGAATTTCATTTGCTGAGAAAAGTTAGTTTTATAAAAGAGTATTTGGACTCAAGGTGAACTAATAGTTTTCAATATTATAACCTAGAATATATTTAGACGAAAGGACAGCCTAAATCTAATCTTCTGCACACTTTCCAGTATTTGTGATTGATATCAACCACTGGGTCTACTAACGAGGGACTCTCAAAATCGAGTTCTTCGTACGAGGGATATCTCCTAACGAAATTCAAGGGCTGTCTGTTGAGTAGCCATGTGTGATATAGGAGATCCGATGCTGTTTTGATACCAACTCTCGATTTGGGGAGTGACATGAAAACTGAAACAAGGAGAGCTGTTTGATTGTCCCAATTCAGCTCAACCAACGACGAAAATGGAGGGACATCTGATCTTGATAGCCTATTTGTTTGTTTGACTATAAAGTCAGATCTATGAATATCATGGAGCTTCTAAGAGGAGTGTGCTGGGAGAAGTATTGAACCATAGCAACCTGTTTCCTCAGAATTTTCCAGAAGCGTCACAGAACCAGATCTTGATGCAAGACAGAACCTTCAACAGTGCACTTCATATCGATGTTAAGCACAATGACCTGTTCTCTGGCACAACATCAAGCCCCCTCTAAGCTAAGCTATGTTGATATTTATCGGTATCGTTTTCATGTAAAAATATCGGTTCAATCTTGATGTATTGTCGCGAAGTCAGACCACAATCGGGTTATGATTGTAGGCGCTGATTCATCGAAGCTTACCAGAAAAACGAGATGAGCTGTCATGGTGGTCATCGCATGGAATGTCTGTGAGAGTGACTGTCGAGTAAACTGAGACCACAAGTATCAACTACCAACGCCTTACAGCTTTTTGCTAAACACCTAGTAGTCGAGGTGGAAGTGAATGAAATGATATCCCGCTTTCAAAGAATATAACTATACTATCTCCTGTAAGACTAAATCCCGCCCAACGTCTTAAGCATCCTCGGCCTCCTCATTTCTCCCTTGTCGTTTCCCCCCATATCGATTCGGAAACCGACAGATCTTGAAGTATCGCAAGTAGAGATTTGGAAGAGGGATTCATGCTTACAAAACTTTGATATCAAGAAATTGAAATGAGAGGAAGCAAGAAAACGTTGGTCAAGAATAGGCTGTGCAACGGGTATTTGTAGGGTGGATAATAACCTTAACAGATAATTCATGAATAATTTATTTATAAAGTGGATAATTTATAGGATGGATATAAATTACTTATAGATATTTATTTGTTTATATATTGTATAACTATTTATAATCTTTTATAATCTTAATATAATTTTATAATTAATATAAAAATTAATATAAATTTAAGCTTGAATTACTTTTAGACTGGAAAATAATTTGAAAATAGCTTTATATTTTAAACGAAAAAAACAGAGAATTTATATATCTATAGATTATTTATAAATAATTTATAAATTATTTGTAAATAATCTATATATTTGTAAATAATCTATTTATTTATGGGTAGATGAATTATTTGTAGATAATTTGTAAATTATCTATACGAAACAGGTAATTTTAAAGCTTTAATAAATAATCCAGAAAGCGAATAAAACCTCTAACGGATAATCTATAGAGTGGATTATTTGTAGATAATTCACGGGTACAGATAATTTGTACACAGCCTAGTCAAGAAACGCCAGGATGACACATCAAGAAGTACCGAGGCCGATTTGATCGATATGACCAAAACCCCAAAAATAGATTTCTGCCTGAAGCAAAACAAATTTCTAAAATTTGTATGGTGTGGCCATAGAAAACTTGGAAAAAATATTTGTACCATACAGAACGCGATCTCATTGCATATCATTATAAAAACTATATATAATATATCTTCAATTTTTCGAATAATATAATAGCTATAATAATACTATTAATTTATAACAGTTATTTGAATAATAAAGCTTATATAACTATCTTAATATATTTAATCTTATAATAAATAAATATATTTAATATAAACAAATAATTGAATTAATTTACTTTTTAATCAAAAATATTTTATTTAATTTAAAGAAAATTAATAATATTAAATTATATAATCAATATAATAAAATAACATTTAATTTTATTAATCTTTAATATATTAAATTCAAAATATTTATATAATTTATTAAAGTCTATATTCTTTGAATTATTAAAAGTTAATAAAAATCAATATATTAATTTTTTTATATAATATTTATTAATATTTTATTAACTAAAATATTATTTTATATATATAAATTATCTAAAGTTTTTTGAAAAAAAGATTTAATATAAGATTTAATATTAATATAATATAAAAAGCTTAATAATATAATAATAAGAATTATAACATGATTTATCATCGAATGGACTATATCATCAAGTAAACCACTTTCACTTTAATAAACACGATCAACTTCAACATACAATTTATCAATCATTTATTATACAATCTAATAATAAAGAAGTATACTTACTTTTAACTATCAAAGTTATTGAAAATAACAAAAAACTAAGTCTTTGAAAGGCCTCCCAACTATATAATATCCCTTGTATAACCCTTATTTATAAAATGAATAGTTTAACTCTATATACTGAAATTCGAGCGAATCGATATAAACTTATAGAATTAAAAGAGGAGGTTATTATTCAATATATTCTTGATATAGATTCAAAAGGTTTTTCATTTAAATTTAAGAGAATGAAAGATATAACAAATTATATTCTCAAATCAAGAAGTATAAAACATATTGAAAAGCTTTAGGCATATTGATTTGTAAAGCATTGAATTGAATTAAAAATATATTTTAATTATATTTATAACTTTCAAAAAGCTTTTTACAAAGATTCTAAGTTTATTAAAGAATGTGTTATGGAGGTACCCGCACCGCAACATGGATTATGAGGTAACCCTAAGGCCTTGGTGTTAGGACCTACAGAAACAGCGCTGTAGGGAAAATCGGCTAGAGAGTACAGATTAGATAAGCGGTAGTATTATTACCAGTTACAGAATAGACATCATATGATTAGGAAACCGATTTATTGAAATCGGCTTTACAGTAATCAATTTGTTGATTTATAGAGTATAAAGGTCTATATAAGAAAATGAGTTTCATTATAATATAGAGCTTTATACTTAAAAACAATTATTAGTTTTATTATTATAGTTATAAGAATTATAATTAATTACAACCTTATTGAATTCCTATTTGAAGTTTAATCTAAATCATTTCGAGAGGTCTCTAGACACTTCCACATAACCCTAGAGGCAGCTCCCATAACAGAATGGTTTTAATTAGTGGCGAATATATAAGCGAAATACAACATTTTAAATAGTGATTTCTACAACTTTAATAAAACAAGCTTTATAATGAATATAATATACCCCAAAATGATTATAATTAATACTGAAAGACATAATAGAAGTAAATCAATACAATTAGACAATCAAGAATGAATTATAATAATAATTTGTAGGAATAAGAAGAATGAAATTATTCCCTCATTTTTAATAATTCAAGAATAAATCTATCTCTTCAATTAGTATACCGAAACTGATCTTCTTATAGAATAAACTATTAAATTTATATCTAATAGATAAACAAATAATGAAACAGATTTAGAATAATTAAAACACTTCGATAAGTATATTAAGAATCGAAAAAAGGGCAAATATCGAATATTGATGCTAGATAGGCATAAAAGCTATAAATCAATAGCTTTTCAAGTATATTGTAAAGAGAATAATATTATATATTTAAGTTTACTACTATATTTAAATTATTTAATTTAGCCATTTAATGTTAATTATTTTAATAATCTAAAATGTTTATATGATAGTTAAATTAATGAATTTAATAAACACATATCAATCATATTTCGAAGGTTGAATTCTTTATAGCTTTTAAAGTTATATACAAAAAATCAATTACCTTTTAGAATATGAAATCAAGGTTTCGAAGAATAGGTTTAATACCTTTCAATCCTAAAGCTATACTTTCAAAACTGGATATTCAAATTCACATACTTACTTCTCCTTTTTTTAATCAAGATTTATAAATCTCTTAAACCCCTTATAATTCATCTAAAATTCTTTTATAATTAACTTTAATAAAATCTTAAATAATTCATTATCAATCAAGTTCCTTTACATCTATATTCGAAATTGTATTAGTTTTAATTAAGAGTATAAAGAGATTAGCTTATAAAAATACATTTTTGAATATAGAGATTTATATACTTTAAGTAGTAAATAAAATATTAAGTAAATATCAATATACAAAAAAAACTCAATTATATTAAGAAAAAGTATTTACTAAATAAAAGGCTTTTAATATATTATCTTAATAAAAAGTTAATATTTAGATTTAATATAATGAGTATCAAAAAGAGAGGAATCCTAATAGAGAAGTATTTTCTAATTAATACTATAATAAGTATGGAAAGATTAGGTATAATATAAGGACTTATTAAAATGATTTAATAAATCCTAAATTATTAAAATCTTTATAGTTTTAATTAATTAATTTAATTGTTGTTGAATAATATAAGTTTGAAAATATGAATTGAGGTAAAAGTAGTTTATTCGATGATATAGTTTACTCGATGATAAATTATATTAATCTAATTTTAATATTTATTTTTATAAAATTATATAGAATTTAAAAAAAAATTAGATTAGATATAATAAATCAAGAAAGTTTTTCAATTATTTTTATAAAATAAAATAAGAAATAAGAAAATATATTTTTCATTAATATAATAATAAGTGTTTAAAAAAGCTTTTATTATTAATTCTTAATATATTTTCTTGATATATTAATTTCTTTTCTATTTTTAATAACTTTATAAAAAATAGAATAAAAAAAGCTTTAATTATAAAAAAGAAATTTATTTCTTTA